TGCCAAGGGTGCATACAGTGCGTTCAGCTGCAGACGCCCATAACGTTAGCCAAATAGTAACAAGTCTAAATGCCAAGGGTGCATACAGTGCGTTCAGCTGCAGATGCACATAACGTTAGCCAAATAGTAACAAGTCTAAATGCCAAGGGTGCATACAGTGCGTTCAGCTGCAGATGCACATAACGTTAGCCAAATAATAACAAGTGTACAGTAAATGCCAAGGGTGCATACAGTGCGTTCAGCTGCAGATGCACATAACGTTAGCCAAATAATAACAAGTGTACAGTAAATGCCAAGGGTNGTACAGTAAATGCCAAGGGTGCATACAGTGCGTTCAGCTGCAGATGCACATAACGTTAGCCAAATAATAACAAGTGTACAGTAAATGCCAAGGGTACATACAGGCCAAGATGGTAGTGGAACAGGCTCCCTAAAAAAACATTCAGAGAGGATTTGGAGGGACAGAGATAACACTGTAGCACCAGGAAAAAAAACAGGAATTTTATTCCGTAACATCTACATTAATAATTCATATATAATTTTGATTAATATTATTTAGGTGTGTAACCCAAACCCGAACCCTTATTCAACAATGATGGTAACTATAGTCATGTCCAAGGAATGCAGAAACATGAATTCCGCTACTTTTGCAAAGGGTGGTTTACTGTCGGAGGGCAGAGCGCTAGGAGGTAGGTTGGCATAAATAATGGAGGGATGATGATACAGCTTAAACTTGCTTGCAGACTGGCATTTTCACAGCTTCATCATCCAGACAACATACATATGAATTATAACAAATACACGGATTAAGGAGAATTGGAAAGAAGACTAGAATGAAGCCAGCATGTGTCAGTAGGTGTTTTATTTGCATACATTGAGAGATACAGATCATAACCCAAAGCAACAGCCTTCACACATGCACCGTTTCTCTGTGCCTAATCTGTAAAGGTTTCTTAAAGAACATGCTGTTATACTGCGCCACCTTTTGGTAGAAACATGTAACTGCACCTCAAGTCTTGCTGTTAGAACTACAGTCCTGGCACTCATCACATTGTCTAACAGTATTCTACTTTTTATTGCTTGGTCAGATGTGTCACCTTTATAAGCAGAATATCTTTTGATTGGGTTGATCTATCTAACTAGTGCAAGGGAAAACATGTAATACAAATGACACATAAAGTTCAAGATAACTTTTAAGATAATTGTATAAGTAACTTCTACAGTTAAGATACACCTTGAGAACAATCACAAATCTATGCATACATAGTCTAATTCTGACTCTGTTTCTTTAGCCATTCATGTTGTCCCCTGATAGATGCAGGTAATTCCTGCACCAAGGTGTAGTACATCTAATATTAGAAACATCTCACAGTAGAAGACATGCTAGAAAAGGCAGAGAGACACTGAAGCCTATGTACAGAGATGGCTAAGGTATCTAATAGGCTGTGCAATTCAAGCTATGTATGCAGGAAAGCTTTTGACTGGGTTGTACTAGTTTTAGAACGACCCCCCTCCCCCAGCATCACTAGGGAAGATCCCTTCGAATGACCTCTTGGCATTGAACAGATGACAAGTCATATGCATACTATAATATTCTTTCAGAACTATTTAATGCATAAATAAATCTGCATGACCTATAAAGCTTTACAAATCTGTGGATCATTTTTAGGTGAACTGATTCTTGGAAGATGAAAGTGATGCGTGGGTCTGTGCTGCTCCAGAATTCATAATGACAAGATACAGTGATACAAGTCGACAACTTAGGGCAGTATTATACAGTCACACTGCATGGCCATGCTGTCCATTAAGGGGCACGTTATTCAGTAGGATTCCAATAGGAACAGCTATTCCAGCCGCACTGCGTGCAGGCATACAGAAATGGTGACATCATGCTATTCAAGTGTCTCGAACAGCCGCTGCTTTGTATTCGTCATCCGTGTTTGCTAACAAGGTTGTTTCAGGTCCAGGTTCATCAAAAACATGAATAAATTGTCTTTATTTATTCCCCTACAGACAACCGACACTGAATAAATTAGGGCTGGGGGGATGGGGTAAGGAGAGCTATGTAAGCGATGGCAGGGGGGTTTAGCGATGTGTCTTGGTAAACGTGTCAATCCTGAGATCGGAGAAAAAACGCCTCAGTGGGCCGTACAGCCCCCCACACTGCCACCAGGGTCACAGGGGTGCAGAAACATACCTGTGCTATTCCGCTACCTGCACCCCCGCGCAGTTGTCCTTACTCTCCGAGGCTATAGCTAAATACTCCTCCCTGAAAGAGAAACAGATGCATCTGAGCTGACGCCTGGCGTCGCGTAAAAGGGCCAACGAGGCTATTGAGGGTGTCAGAAATGAGAGGTGACATCAGGCGATACACCCTTCCATGGCAGTGCGGTACTGATGACAATCACACCCTGAAATAGGGGACACAGATCACAGGGGGGGTGATACTCACGCGCTCTGTCTTAGTGCCTCGTCTCCAGCTGCAGCGATCTTCTTGTAACAGTAGATCATCTCCACCAGGAGCCACAGCTGCAGCCCGATAATGGACACGTACATCATAACTTCAGAGATGATGGATGCTAGTCCCCTGGTGGCTAGAAGAGAGAACTACATCATCTCCCTGATTATTCAGCTGCGTCGATGGACACAAGCACCATGATGGACACAGAACGCTGCTGGTTTAAGGGCCTAGTGGGAATATCATAAGCTTGACACATATTCTCAGCAGCAACATCTGTTTATTGAGAAAGCAGCGTCAGCCGTTCCCTCTGGGCCTGGGTTAAGCGCCTTGCTCAGGTACCCAACAGCGAAATCACTCTACTGACTAAAGGATTGGATTCCGCAGCCTTGTGATCATAGGCACGTCATCCTAACCTGCTGAACCTTACACCACCTAAAGTATAATCAATGATATCAAGAGCTCATTTACATGTATGATTTATATACAACACACACACACACACACACACACACATATATATAAATTGTCATATATACCTGTATATATGTATATGCATATATATATGGCTGTTAAACTCAACATAAAATATGATGAAAGTGCTGTGTGGCTCTGCGCTGTTTTAGAACTCATGATGATAAGATACAGTGATACAAGTCGCCAACTTAGGGCAGATGGGTAAATATATACAAGGATGCAACGGAATACATGTAACAGCGACACGTATTCAGAATACAAAAATTAAGTATCTGAATCCAGTCCACATTACGTTATACTATTTAGAACTCAGTTACTTTTTTTAAAAGTAAGATAATACTTTTAGATTGCATCTGCTATTATATTAATATAGTTTAAAAATCTTTTAAAAGATATGCCTGTTTTTTGTTGTTTTTTTTGTCTTTGTTTTACATCATCAGGTGCACACTTTTCCCTTTGTCCAATAGAGGGCAGTGGTAAGCTGTAGATCAGCACATGCAACCATGACCTACTGTAGTGCTTTCGTGTCTTGGAAATACAAGCATCATCTTTCCAACTTTCAGACAAAAAAGTGGAAATTCTTTTACTGTTGAATGCCAGTTGTACCTGCTAATAATAAAGACTCTGTCCGCATGGATGCTTTCAACTTCTAATTTAAAGAAACATCTTGAGGTAAGCAATGCTTTCAAGTTAAAACTCAACCAAGCCAGGGTTACCTGCAAACCTAGCTAGCATTATACGTCCCCTGCTTCCCTTGGTGGTATGTGCTGGTCATCAGCTTTTAAACTGATGTTCCTCAAGAACAACACAGCATTGCGGCTGTTCAGCGCCGTTTCAGTCACGGCAGAAACCTTCTTACCCCAAATCGTAACCAAATGGGAAGGTCCTTTTGATGCAATACAATAGTCAGATATCCTCCATTGAGTTAGAGGAATGAGAGCAAAATTGTAATGTGAAGATTTAGACACAGGATATGTGATGTGTAAAACTTCAGTTAAATGTATTCAAGCAATGTCATTAATCTGTGACAAATTAATATGGCCATTTCCAATTTGTTATGTTGCTTTTACTTCTAAAAAACTGATTAGATGCAATCTTGTCATGCAATCTTAGGAAGATTTTAAATGTTGTTTTCCATTTGATTTTGATCATTTAAGGTTTGGATAATCGTTTACGCATAGACTTCATCACCTATGCACATCTGTTTGTCATTATGTGACTTAAATTTGTTTTAATCAGCTAGAGGTCATAAAGTAAAAAGAGAGCTTGATAAAAAATATAAAAAAACTTGCAGCCTCTGGTCTTTCATATGTTTCAAATCCATTCATACAGATATTTAATTAATGTTGCTGCTCATATGCAAAAAGCAATTAACAAATTCACCACTCAGTACTGCAGAAAGAAAAAACAAATAATGATACAGCACAGCTAAAAGTATTCTGAGTACATTAGTCTTCATGTACTAGAATGGAATACATTACTGAATACATGTATGGTAATGTACTCAGTATTTAGCCATCACTACTCTTTCAAAGTATTTTCCCTAACCCCGCACGTATATATGCACGCTGTCTTCTATCACACTAACGACATGTGATCTACTCATCCTCTCCCTCCCTCTTTCTCTCTCTCTCTCAGACACACACACACACACACACACACACACAAACACACACAGACCTGTAGTCATATCTTTATGGGGAACGCCCATTCATTTATATGGGTAAAACCCAAATCCCAACAATGACAACCTTAACCCCTACCCAGCCTTAACCTTAACCATAAGTAACCAATCAAAATACAAGACTTTTGTCATTTAAAATTTTGTGTTTGCAGTCACAAATTTATAGAAAACTGAATTTCCCCTTGTGGGGACCGAAAGAAAAATGGTCCCCGCAACATTAAAATAACAGGTTTTTATCATATTGTGGGGACATTTGGTCCCCACAATGTTATGTATACCTGGACCAGACAGACAGACACACACACACACACTTCTGACATGCACATGGCCTCTCCCACTTCCTAAGAGCCAGCCTACCTTTGGCTACCACGGAGAGGTGAACCACCTTGCTGGCTGTGGTTTGGAACTCGTAGTAGGGGTAGGAGAGGATGCGGTTGAAGAAGCAGCGGTAGGTTCCTGTGTCATTGAACGTGACATTGAGAATGTAGATTGAAGCGTCCTGGATGTCTGCCGTGTTCTTGCTGCCGTTCCAGTCCAAGCGGTCCTCAAACTGATCATTCATAATGGAGGGTACCTCCTCCTCGTAGGTGTATATCTGAGAAAAGGGCAAAAATGTCAAGAAAGAACATGCATTCTGTTCATATTATATAGCAGCTTCTCCAGCGAGAACATGTAAAATGAAGCACTGTTTGGTCTGATGTCTTGAGCCTCAAGGACTGTTCACTGTTCACAAGTCAACTAGCCCTAGGTAATGGTAATAGTAAACTGTGTCCTTGGACGAACACAGGATGACGGTATCTTGGGACCCAATAACCCGAAAAGTGGTTCTAAGCATGCTGCAGCACTTACATGAATATAGCTGTGTTCTCCTTTGGGGCGGAAGTACCAGTTCACAGTGGCGGTGGCCTCCACCTCGCCCCTCCTCTTACAGGAGATACAGCCCAGCTTGAAGCCCTGGCCAGCCACCGCCTGTGTGTCGGAGTCCACCTCTGCACAAGCGGCCTTGCACAGGGACACTGTTCCGGGATAGAAATAATAGACTTTGCAGAGTCACTGACACTCAGCCCAGAGGGAGAGAACAAAATGAAAAATAGAAGCAGATCCACAGAAGAGATGGGAGCAAAACTGCTGGAACCTGCGAGGCGCTTATAAGAACCCATGGGCTGCTTTAATTATGGGAACAACGTGCCCAGTGTAAGCAGCAATGGAGTGGAACCAGTGGAAGATGGTTAAACATAGAAAGAACAACATGCTACCATGAAGCCGGTGACCCAGTCCAAGCTCTGAAAGTTATTTATATAGAAAGGCTCAAGAACTGCTATCCATAACCCGTCCCCAAACTGCAGAGATGACTGGGCACAATCTGGCCCACATCAGCCTGTACAATGGATAGGGATCCTGAAAGTCATTCCTATAGTTATCAGGAAATACACTATATAAACTGTTCTGGCATATATTGCATATATTTTGTTCTGGGATCTGACTACAGGGATCTTATAGTCAAACTAGCAATGCCATTTAACTACGAGAATCAGAAGCAAAATGTAGTTTTGCCCTTAGGAATCTTCTCCTTCAGCATTGATAAGTCATCATTTTGTATGATGCTTCAACTGCTTCTAAACCCAGTTGGGGGGGGGGGGGCAGCATGCAAACTCCAGCTACAGAGCAGAGACAGAAGCAAAAAAGGAAATAAATAATTACATTTTAAATACAACCTTCATTGACCAAAGTGCTGTACAGAGTTAATGAGTAACGAATAATAAACTACACACATATGAACTGGGAATCCACTCTCGAATACTTTTTAAGCCTGCTGAAAGGCTAAAGAATAAAAATCTTTTGTTTTTCAGTTTAGATTTAAAATCAGAAGCTAAAGAGGCAGCCCTACTGTAGCTGGACATATCGTTCCAAAGCCTTGTGGTGCTACTGAAAAAGTCTGGTCACCCTTTAATTTAAACCTTTCCTGAGGAACAGTCAGGAGGACCTCAGGGATCTTGTGTGATGAGCTGATAAAATCAATCTGCTATATGGGAAGGGGCTAATCCATTTAGGGCTTTCAAGGTAATCAATAAGGCCTTACACTGAATCCTAAAATGTACCATCAGCCAAAGGAGAGAGACTAAGACGGGTGAGATATCCCTCAATCTTGCACCAGTTAAGTCGAGCAACAGTGTTTTAGACTTTGTAAACGTGATAGATGATGACTGACTGACACCAAGGTATAAATTACAATAGTCCAAATGGGATTAAATAAAAGCATGAATGAATTTTGTGGATCTTGAAAACAGAAGTGATTTGACCTTGGAGATCATCCGGTGCTGGAGAAAACAAGGTTTGACAACAGCAGTAATTTGTTCATCAAATTTAATTTCTGAGTCAAAGATCAACCCCAATTTTTTTTCGGTATAGCTTAACGTAGGGTGGCAATGTGAGTTTTAGCTGACCAAATAAAATGGCTTCTAATTTGCTATCATTTAGCTGTAAAAATTATTATTATTTAACTTTTTTTTTTTTTTTAACATTTTTCAAGTGCTCACGAAGACAAGTCTAAGAAACTGGGTCATTGAGATTCACGCGAAGATAGAGCTGGGTGTCATTAATGTAACAATGAAAAGAAATATAAAAATATTGCTTAAAGGTATCGTGCATGTTTAAAAGAGCTGGCCCCACAATGGGGCCTTGGAGAACCCCCACCTAATGGAGCAATAGAGGAAATTTACAATATTAACTGAGAATGACCTTTCCCTAGTGTAAGAAATGAACCAATTCAGTGTAGCACCCTAAATGTGAGCGCAATGTTCCAAACACTCAGTCAGCACCTAAGGGTCCACAGTATGAAATGGTGTGCTGAGATCTACAGTAACACAATCAAAATGGTACACTATGCAGAATCAATAGTCAGTAGTAAATTACTTGTCATGTTTAAAAGAGCAGATTCAATGCTGTGAAGTGCTCAAAAACCTGACTGATAAACTTTGAAGATTTCGTTTGCAGCTAACATGTCAAAAGTTGAATTATTATTATAATTTTTTTTTACATTTGTACAGTAATTTGCACAAAAAAGAGAGTTTTGAAGTAGGACGGAAATTGCTGGGACTGCTGGGATTTGTGAGTTGCTGGCAGCAGAGGTACCCAGCGAGCCACTGTGCGGCTTCACATGGCAACTTACCATTTCACAATATAAGACACCATAGGAGTTGTGTGAATACTTCCACAGGGAACTGTTAATTAGGACACTGTTAATTAGATCTGCCAAGTGTTCGGGAAGTGGTCGACACTGAGGACCTCGGTGTCTCCTATAGCCAATAAAGTGTTTGCTTTTAAAACCAAACTTTTAAAATTTCATTGCAGGAAAGGTTTAATACATGGCTATACAGACGCTTCCAAAACATCCAGTCCACTCTGCCTTGCTGTTGTATTCATACTGCTCCTTCAGCCTGTACTCTAATAGCAGGATGCTTCAGCTTTGCCCAACAGAGGCTGCTGCTACTGTGATAAAGCTGAACAGATTCTACCAGCAAGTCAAGTCTTCATTTTTCTGTACATTTTGAAGATGTCAACTGTACTGTCAGCATTTTCAACCAGAACACCTTCTCTGTCTCATCATAAGCACTATTAAAACAAGTCAAGATGCGATGGACAATGTGTCATGAAGTGGTGGACAGACAGCATTACGGGCACATGTCCCAACTGAGAGTAAAGCACCATGATGTCTCAGGAAGGCTAATTAATAGGCTGATGTCATACTAAGCATGAACTCAGGAACACAAGCCAGGAGACTCACACTCAGAGTCTAACGGTCGGCTGTGAGAATGACAACTGGTGCTGGCAACTGGCACATAAAAGACCCATCTATCCATCCATCCATCCATCCATCCATCCATATTGGTTCTGTTTCTGGAAACCCGCCTAGCAGTAAGAGTAAAAAAAGCCCAGGAACACTGTCCTGTAGAAAAAACACTGTGCTCTGAGATTTGACATTTAACACATATGCACAAATCATCTGCATAGATATTTATTTTCTTAAATGTCATAATTTTTCTGACTGACTCATTAGTTGAGTTCTGGCCATTTTACTATTAATTGCAATTTTAGTCATTGGGTCCCAATGGGATACTAAACAGAAGGGGCAAGAGTGTTATTAATTAAAAAGCACCCAAATGAGACTACTTGTCAATAAATTTCTAACTCAGAACAGCTTTTTTAGAACTAATTTTGGTTTCAATGTATTACTACTTGAAATGAATTTCACTGAAAACTACTGGTTGATTCTAATGTGATATATGTTTTGTAAATAAAAAAAAAAGATTTTTCTTATAACAATAAATTTGCAATATTTTACTGAATTAAGTACAGTAAGTGACTTTATGTGAGTTTTATATATAACAGGTTTGAATCTTGTCCTGACTTTGTGCATGTAGTGGAAGCATGTGTTTCCTGTGTTTGTGTAGATTTCCAAAGAAGTGCCTCAGGTGGATCGATGTCTCTAAATAGCCTGTAGTGTGTGTGTGTGTGTGTGTGTGTGTGTGACATTTTTTCAGTCCCCACAAGAATATCCTCAATTGTATGAGAAATCTGTGACTGCAATCAAAAAACTACAAATGCCAAAGTCTTGTATTTTGTTTGGTTACTTATGGTTAAGGTTAGGACTGTGTAGGGGTTAAGGTTGTCATAGTTAGGATTAGGGTTTTGCCCATAGAAATGAATGGAGAGTCCCCATAAAGATATGAATATATGGCAATGGTGAGTACTCAGGCATACTGCCGACCGTCTGAGCTCTGGTTTTGAAACTTTAGCACATCACAGTGAGCTAAAAAACGTTACTGTTTCTGGAAGCAATATAAATCAGCACAACATTTTCACCACTAATTTAAGTAACCTGTCACAGACTTCCGTTAGTGAGAGTGTTTATACACTTGGTCAGTACAGTTTGCCCTAGAAAGAAAGCAGGAAGGCTATCTTATTTTCTTCTGTTTTTATGACGTGACATCGGAACAGCGCTTACCGTGCAGCGCACACAGCAGAGCCGGGACGAGCAGCAGCCGCAGTGCAGACAGACCGAGGGGCGACATGGCAGAGGAGTGCGCGGCCGAGCGCCAGCAGGAAAGTCCGCAAGGGAACCGGCTCCGCTCTTCTTTTCGGCTGTAATTATTTTTTCCCTCTCCCTTTTCTAGTCTTTTTGAATGCAACTCCTTTTTGCTGGCCTTGACTATTCTCACGAAAAAAAAACCTTTTTATTCTATCTTACAAGTAGCCCTTCCTAAGTTCCTTACGCTGCAAAAACAGTAGGAGAAACTCGCAATCCGCTGGACTGTAATTTCAGAAATGTCACTTTGAAGAGGAGTGGTCCCACAAAACTTGCTATTATTATTTATGATTATGCATCAAGGTACAATATGAAGATGCAGAAATTAAACCCTAAACTTCAGGTTTCCAACTCTGCGCAGGTTCCTCATAGAGCCATTAAAAAAATACGTAAGTCTAACCGCACCAATGACAGCTCCGCTCTGTAACGCCACCGACCTAAGTATATTAATTAATTATTTTCTTTTGCTAATAAATGTTCACTTACATTCCAATGGATAGCTGGAAGTGCAGAAAGAATATGAATTTCGGTTGTGCAGACAGTGGAAGACAAATAATTGTTTTAGACCTTCAACGTCAGTAATAGCATACACTTCAGCCTAAGTGGTTGTATTTCAGCCTAAAAGCGGAGAATGTGCAAAGTTACTGCTTCGAAAAATTTCAAAGCAGTCTTAACAAAAAATGATGTGACTTAATATCAGTCGCTTTCGTCAAAGTGCTATCTTTCGGTCTTTGGCTTATTATTCAATCACAGTTTAATCAATTACATACTTTGTTTATTGCTGATATCTATTTGTAGGCCTGTTTTGCTTTTTATATAAACGTAGGCCCTATATATTTTTAACATGACATATACTCTAAGATATTTTTCTAATCACTGAAAAATAAATCTATATTTTTGCATGCTATGTTTATATGAGAAGGAAGCTCACCATCAGAATAAATCATTCACCCTGATATTTCAGCATTACCGCCCTGAGATTCTGGTATCAGTGCACCGAAAGCAAACTAGCATACAACTATTCATTCCCTTTAATGATTCATAACTTAATAAAGTGCAAAGTATAGCGTCCAGTGAAATATACTTCGCTTAAATGTTCTTTGTCTTGCAAATAACTATATATCGTTACCATGTATTAATATTCGTGTTTATGCACATCACACGCGTTTTGCTAAAGGCACTAATTATGCCCAATCATGAAAAATTAAAGCCGGTTATGTCCCTGGCGCATGCCTTATTAAATAATTCTGCGGACATTCATGCGACGTTTTCGGTTTGAACAGACTAATTAGTTAATTAAACGTGCCTATAATGTCTGTCTCTAAAAACATTCCAGCAATATTGCTCTAAGAAATACATTCACATGAGAGTACAGTAAATAAGTGAAGGACGACCGCGATAAAGGTCGAAATATTGGTAGGCTTAAGCCGAAAATGAACGAGAAAAAAAATCACTGATAAAGGAATTCAGCTGCTTAATGATGTCCAGTTTTACCTGCCCCCTCTGATCTAAATTGCGTACATTAGCGCAGTGTCCTTTAATGTCCTTTCAGAGGGCGAGCTCGTTTTCTCAGCGCGTCCGTAACGAATCCTCCGGCTCCTTTCTCAGTAGCCTGTATCTTAGTAGCTCCGTTTTTACTGCGGTAAAGGTGGAAGCCGGCTGGGGACGATACGCGCACGCTCCGGAGTGACCGCCGTGCACGCGAACAGGCCGATGAGCGCGCGCATCTGCAGGAGCGACGATCGTGGACGAAGATCAGAAATACCAGCAGCGCTGATGACGACAGTCTGCATTATGTGCCTTTATCGGTATTTGCGAACCTTCTCCTGTGTCGATTAAAAGCAATACGCTTGATACACGAAGATGAACGCAAGTGTGCTTAGCACGATGTTATGAGATTGGGAAGGGGGAGGGGGGGGGGGGGGGGGGGGGGGGGGGGGCGGGGTGCATTTGATGCAATGCGGTAGGTGAAGGATAAAGAGAGCAAAGCGTGCCATTAATAGTTGTTTTTACAATTATTTACACACATTTTTTTTTAAACTAGGCTCATTTTCTCAAAACTTTACACACAAACCTCACTAACAATTCAAAGACCAAAACATCTCAAATCTCTTGCAAAATGAAACAGAAAACTAAAACTATGTCTCAACATATTATTTTTGTACTAGAATTATACACCATATGCACATATTTTTCAAATAACAGCACACCAATGTGCTCAATGGGGAGAAGCACCTTGTTTAGCAGTGTATTTTGTTATCCTTACAGAATGAATATTAGCCCAGACAATATGGGCAGCTTGAAAAATACATTCTTTAGTTCTAAGAAACATATCATGACAAGCTTTAGACTTATTTGTTTTGCAGTTAATAAGTATTGTTAATACCTCCATCTGAATGTTGTTGTTTTACTCTGTTTTGTGGCCTTTGCAGTGTTATGCTTACATAAAGTACAGTAGCTTGTTGTAAATGATTATTGTAGTAATACTGCTTATGTACTGCTTACTGAATATCTATGAACACACAAGCACAATAGCAGGACAAAAAAACTTTTTTCAAAGCAATGAATTTCAGCAAGAAACTGAGTAGAGAATGCTGTCTTACATAAATGGAAATGAAAAAGTCTGTTCAGTAAAAGATACCAAAAAAGGCTACATGCTGCCTCCTGTTTGGGTCGGGCCACAGCACCTCATCACCATCACAGGCTCTGTTCCCCGTGGCTAAACAACATGGAAAACATCATCTGTAGTGTCTAATGCAGGCCTGGATTCATCAGTGTCCCTACAGACCCCATCCATGGCCTGCAGAAGAGGCATGCGGGCATGGGGTTGGCTGTCACAGACCTTACATCGCCATGCTGAAAATAATTCCTCCACAGGATTCAGAACGGGCGGTAGACTGATAAACACAAAACCAAAAACTGTGGGTGGTTCACAAAGTAGTTTTGGACCAGAGCAGCCTGGTGGAAACTTACATCGTCCCAGATGACAGCAAACCTCAGCTGTTCTGAACCAAAGGGTAATTCAATGCCCTCCATAATGTCTGGAGCAAAGACCTTTTTAAAAAAATTTACCATTTGTATGCCACGGTTTTAGATTTGTAATCAAACAAGTGACAGTTAAAGTGCACGCTCTCAGATTTTAGTTTTTTTTTCAACTGCTAAGCCACTAAAACTGACACTTCTATACAACAACAGCACATCGACAGGTTTCTCAATGATATACTAGGTATACTGTTGGAATGGGAACATGAGTAACAGGACAGCCAGAACAGCCCTATCATATCATTTGGGACAAGGGTAGTTTTCACTGGAGTATTCAAGTCCCAGAACTATTTGACATTACTGTAATATTAAATTCTCAGATTTGTTTGTTTCACCTTCTTCCCTATTCTTCATTCTTTTTCTGGTGGAAGGTGTATGACAGACATCTCTATGAACAGGAAAATCTTCTCCAAGCAATGCTTAATGGCTTGTAATGACATGATCTTAGAGCCCTTCCGGGCAAGGATTTGCCACAGCATAGTATGTGATATCAATGAGGCCTTTGGCCCGATTCAGTCCGACGACAGGATACGGCCTGAAACACCTCGTTGAAACTCCAGCCTTTACTTCCGTGACATGGTGAGGTCACTTCGTAACACAATCCTTATTGGCGGCTTCCCTGCAAGGATCTGCCTACAGACTGCAAGACAGGGGCAGAACGTGTAGGGCAAGCGGACCAATCAGAGCACACTGGGGTTTACAGTAAAGCTCTAACAGAGCATTCCAGTGTTATAGATGCAGTGAATAGGGATGTACAATATGAGAAAAATAATGTGTTTTTGAAACACTGAAACTTGTAAATCTATTTAAGCAGACCCCAAAAATAAAATGATAAACAGTGAAATGAGCAAAGTAGTGCCCCTTTAAGATCTTTCATGTTTTAAATTTGTCAGGCTTCTGGTTTTAGATCTATTTGCCAAATAGTTTTAGATATTATCACATGGTCAAGATTAAATAATGTTTTGATCCACCTGCTACATCTGCACATCACAAGTTAACACACAGTTAATGAAACCAGACACTCAAGGAGCAAAACCTCAGCCCAGATCTGAACATTCTCAGCCTTATGCTTTTTGCAAAACACTAAACACACTTCTCTACATTAGACACATAGATCTAACGTGATGTCACTTCCCTGCCATTCCAAGGCAGAGCCCTCCGAAATACCACACTCATTAACCAACTGATTAGACATGACCGTCAAGTGTGAAGTAAAGTAGGTGCTTAATTGTAAACTCACCAATCGGGTGTAAGCACTAAAAAGGCAACAGGTGAGTTTACTGTCTTCAACCAAAATGCACTACATACACAGAACCTTTTATAGTACCATATATGTTTATAGTAGGGATTTAGTCTTTTTTTAGAGAATAATGCAAATGGATGCCAATGCAATATCACATGAACTGATATTCATAGATATTCAGGGTTCAACCTCACAAAAGCAAGAAGGAGCAGGAGAAACATCATTGGACACAGAGCTATTGTGAACGTCCCGGGCCAGCGAGGTGGTAACATCACGATGTATGCTGCCATCGCACAGACCATGCCAACCTGGATCCTTACAATACAGGTGACATTAGTAACCTACTCAGGGAGTTGCAGCGAAAACCTGCATACACACCGGCCCTTTGCGGATAAGTTTGGCCACCCTTGTCTTATGGTATTGATTTTGTGATATTGACTCATGTACTACCCTTTGCGTCAATTCTGTATTCCTCTGGGGGGGGCGGTTAACATATAAGTATTTATTATATATTCTAATTGGTAATATTATGTGCAATTAATTGTGGTTAATCACAGTGTTTCCCAAGCCAGTCCTGAGGGACCCCAAGACAGTCCACATTTCTGTTAGGACTGGGTTGGGAAACACTGCACTACAGAATGTAGTGGTGAGAGATTGACCCACACAGCTTTTTTATTGTTTGTTGTCACCTAGGAATGTAAGTTTCCACAAGGGTGCTCTGGTCCATGACTGGATTGTGAACCATCCACAATTTTTGGTTTTTTATCACCCTCTGCCCCAGGCCTGGATAAGACATTCGAGATGACATTTCCCCTCTTTTTTTGGTATCTTTTCCTGAACAGACATTATTTTGTTATGGATGGGCATGAAGAAAGACTGACGATCCACATTGTGTCTCACAAAATGATCAAGTGCACATTGAGGAAGGCAACACGCTGAAATGTGTCTATGTTGTGTGCAGACTTCCATTAAAATTTTGTTGAAGCAAAGTGTGACCTCTTTTTGTTTACTTGATTGATTCCTCTATTGTGGTCCGGCACTCTGACAACTACAAAACTAGGAATGAAGCCTGTTCTTCTGTGCCAGATTGGCTCATAAGAACAAGACATTATTAGAACTCAAAAATAACACAAGAAACAAACAGACCATGAGTAGTCAAGAACAAAGAACAAATAAAGTAAATGCCAAAACTATAGTAGGCATCAACACAGGAACAACCATAGTAAACAGCAGCAAACACACGACGATGACAATGACAACGAATATGACGACAACGATGACGACAACTACAGACAGACAATGACCAGCTGAGGAAATGGGGCAAAAGCAGGCACATATATACATACAACAAGGGATTCAACAAGGGACAAGTGTGGGCTATTACAGAACACTAAGGACTATAACTAACAAGGAACAGGTGAGCATAATCAAGAAGCATTACAGACAAAAACACTAGAAAAGAGTAAAAACATCGGTACAGAACATAACAACAAGCAGGAGATAACAAGGGGCAAAAGCAATGAACTAACAGAAATACACCAACAACTTTCTCAGGGGTACATCGCAAAAAAGAAATGTTAAAGCATAACTAAATTACATCCACATGAAGATACTGTTTAATACTTAGTAACTGCAAAATAAATAAGTCTACAGTGAGTCATGATATGTACCTGAGTACTGAAGAATATATTGTTCATACACTGCTGGTTGAAGCCCACGTGGTCAGGGCCCCTTGGAATAGGATGCCCTAGACCCCTATTATTCAAATCACGGTCCTCAAGGTCTGAGCACTGCTGGTTTTCCAGCCTTCCTTTACCTGTGAGCCAGGTGTGAAGCCTCTGACCAATCAGAATCAGTAATTATTAAACTAGCTACCTGGGAGAACTGAAAACAAGGCCTGGATTTGGAATCAAGGTCCAGATTTGAAGATCCCTGCCCTAGACTGTAGCCTGATGAGATGACCAGCACTGTTTATAATACAACTTTTCCAATCTTAAGTCTTTTGACACATGTTTTTGAGAATGGATCAGCCAGTCCCTGCAGCAATGGGGGACTGACATTTTTGACTGTGGGATTCACGCTGCTGACCTCCAGCAAAGCATTCTGGCTGAGTCACACAACAGCCTCAGAAAGAACAAGCCACAACCCTTTAGCAGAGGATGTTTTTGATCTGTCAATCACTGGGTTATTGGTCCAGCATGCTTTTGCGCTCTATATTTAGCTTTCCTAAATCTATTAAAGGACCAGTGCTAAACCATTTAGTCTATTTACAATAAATACAGAAACATTTTTATTTTATGTGATATACACCTAACATTTAGCGTGTATTATTTTATATAAACGACTTTATATATCGGCACCAGGCAGACCGAGGAATCGCAGGAGCAGAGAAAGACATGGTGACCTGTTTGCTGGGGAAAATACACCTTAAATGAGCTACAACAGGCACTGAAACCAAATACGTAGATGCGAAACACAAGGTTGTCAGATGTAAAACTGCAAGATGCACACACGGTGGGAGATTTACACTAGCTAAATACACATGAGGATTGCACAGGGTACGCGCAAGACACAGGCAAACACATGCGAGACAACAGGGAAATGCAAC